TTGCCTATCCTGTTCAATCATTGTTTGACAAGGAGGGATCCTATATCCAGCCAACTCCATCCAACTCATGCAAAGTTTTTTTCTCTTCAGAGATCTCTCCCTGTTTGAATTGCTCTGATTCTATGTTGATGAGGCTATGTAGCAAGCAACACAATTATTGCCTCAAACCAGGAAGCTGTAAGAGCATGTGTCAAGTGTAAACTAGCTGAGTGCACCAACAGCATAAGTAATGTCAACTACCATCCTCTGTGAGATCAGCAAACAAGCTTTTCAGTACCAACCTTCGGTATTTGCTAGCAAAATACTCTTCCTTGGCTTCACCCAAACTGTAAACTTGAGAATTGAGGTACCTTATGAACTTGCCTACGTAGATGTAATTTCAAGAAAATATTTTACTCTTGAAAGAACCTTATCTCAAACTCCCGAACAAGCAAGTCTCTGAAATCAAAATGTTTTTCACTATTCCGGTTCATGTACAATTTTTACGTGACACAGGCCCTTGCCCAACTCTGTATATAGCCGTCACTTATGCATGAGTTTGATGAAATTTCAAACATACCGATCAACGTTGCTTCAAACCATTCAAGACCCCCTTAACCTTAGTATTTTGGGCCCATGGAAAATGCAAATATAGGCACTGCAGAGGAAGGTTTGGCCATTATGACAGTGTCTTGCTTGTGGAAAACCCCATAATGATTCCTCAAGGTCATTTGGGTTGTGCCTTGGGGCAGCAGGAGGAGGTGCATGTGGGCCAGTGTGCCTAGCACACCAGTCGGCAATGCCTTGAAGTAAAATGTGCCTAAGCGATAGCCACACCACTCGGTGGGTGTCGGAGCATGTAATTTTTGTGATGGCATTGTTGGCAAACATGATTACAACAAATGGCATGTTGGCCTTGTCAGCTTTGCACTTGCAGCACCTGTGGGTGGGCATGTCGAGCACACTAGTAAGCGTGCCCTACATGTGATGTGCCTCACGATGGCTATGCAACTTGGTGAAGTAAAACCAAACTCATGAGCTTATTGTATCAGGTTGAAACAAGTGAAGGACCCTTTTTTTTCCGTCCCCATTCAACACACAACATGCAAAAAAGGAAAAGAGACGGATTGAGTTTCTCTCACTTTTGGCATTGCAGGCCCCAGTGGACTGTACAATGGGATATTAGCTCAGTGGTAGAGTGCACTCTAATAATTGCAAGATCCAACCGGTGGATTATCAAACACTAAGAACAAAAGTTGCCCTACTAGACGAGGGTTACGTGTAAACGCTAATTTTGCCCATTTTTTACAAATTTCGGAAATCAAGGGTTGGAGCTAGAGCTTAAGTAGGGTTTGTAGTGGCTAATTTTTGGCATTCCTAAGCATTTCTCTTCCTTATTCACGCTACACGAGGTGGGGGTTCCCTTCTATTTAGATTTTCTCTCAACCTAGGGTTGCATATGAGATGTGTTTGAATAAATATATGTTAATCACATGATTAGCTTATAACTAGTGAGTTAAGTGGAACCGGTGAACATGTTATCTAATTCTTACTTGAATTGGGTTGTTGAACATGTTTCATATGTGGATATTGATGGGTATGCTAAGTGTTTATAATTACGTACCCTATGTGTTTGATAAAATAGCTAAATGTATTCAAGCATGTTATTTGAGTTAATCAATGTATATAATATGTGTTAGGTGATATGTTAGAATGCTCTTATATGCATTAATGCTATAAGTGACACTGTGTTTTCAATTGAAATGCAATCGTACATACATTGCACGTGCACGGGTTAAACATCACATCCACGAGACAATCGACATGGTTGCAAGTGTTGTATATGGATTTAATCAATCACCACATAGGTGAGTTGATGGGAGAGGCTCGAGAAGATTGGATCAAGGTCCGATTGAGTCTCACAGGATATTGCGTGAAAATGTGTCGGGATATAACAAGAAATGATAGATCTTCCCTTGGGTGCAAGGCCCGATTTTGTCGGTCACACACTGGCCGGTGGTGTAACGAGCCATAAAAGTATGTTGGTGTACATAGAAATTGGGGGTGATATGTCCTCAAAATGCTGTGTCGGTTTGGTAACCCGTTGATAGAAGTCTAAGAATTACGATTACCTACCCCAAAAAGACAAGATAATAAATGAAAGGTCATTGGATGTGTATAGCTTAATGGCGGGAGCTTGGAATTGCCCGGTTCATGACATGACATTACATCATGTGTTATGCATGAGAACCCGGGAGTGGGTTTGAAGTTGGACATTTATTCATAAAACGTTATTCATGGCTTGGCATGTTTAGTGACATTCTTCTATGTTACTCGTTTTGTATATGTGATTGTTGAGTTGCAGGTACATCATATCATATGCATTTGGATTGAGAGGTATTCTCTATAGGAGATACCCTACTGGATTTAGGCTCACCCCATTGTGGGAATGTTTTTCAGGTACTAAGCACGCTTCCATAGATGACTCTCACATAGGTCCACTTTTATGACGAGTTAGAGCTCGGGCTCTTTTGTTGGACGTACAGATTTTAGATCGCAATTGTAAAATTGATAGCCTTGTAATATTTTGAATTATACAACATTTTATAATTTTTGTAAAGGCTAGTATATGGGGGCTTAATGTAAACTCTACTTTTAGTTTTAATGAATGCTTTACATTTGAACTTGTTATTGTTGTCTAATGCATGGAATGTATTAGATGTGTATGTTAGACCTTGGAAGGTCAATAGGAATTATTGTTGACTTAGGTTGTATTTTGGGTGAAGCTCCACGTGCAAAAGAGACTCCATTGAAATTCCGTTAGGATCGGTCCATTCCAAAACATGCAAAGAACAAACAAAACATAACTAATTACATCATGAGCCATCCTAATAACCACAAGAAGATTTCCAACTCATTGTGATACAAAAGTAGAGGAATATTCTCAAACTCTATAGTTACGAAGTCCAAAAAGATACTAAGAAGTTCATATGATTCCACATTCCTTCCACCACTTCCTTCTTGTCTTCAAAAATCCTTAAATTTCCTTCAAACCAAATAGCCCACAACATGGCTAAGAAAGAATATTGTCAAAGAGTATCGCCACTCCCTCCTCCACCCAAACCTTGAAAGTAGTCCAAGTACAACAAAGATGAAACAGTTCTCAATGCCAACCAACAAATCCCAACCAAGTCAACTAGTCTATTCTATAACGATAGCACCGCTAGACAATGTAAAAATAGATGATCCACACTATTTGTATTCTCATTACAAACACACAGCATTGCAGGCAACGATAAAGTATTAGGCCTCCACCATCGAAGCCAATCATTTGTATTGATCTTACCATGATCAATCATCCATCTACAAACTTGAACTTTTAAAGACACTTTTGACCTGATAGGTCAAATGGCAAGGGCAACCTTCAGAATGTGGCTATGAGGAGTTTGGAGATTTCTATTTTGTCTTCAAGTGAATAGCTTCTCGGCTTGCCTTTGGCCGTCCAAAAAGTGGAATCCATCTCTATCTATATGTGCTTCCACTGGACCAAAAGGAACTCTTTGTCAAGCTCCTTTCTCCCGTCTTTCGAATTCTATTTTTGACAAATAGCAATAGAAGCCGACTTGAGGAGATTCTTGTTGAGTGCCATCACATCGTCGAGGGAAGGATTATCAATCAAAAATTCAAAGAAAGAGTTACATGAGAAAGAACCCAAAGGGTCATCAACCCAACACCTTTTATCCAACGAATTAACATCCAAAGTGACAAACTCGAGCATAGAAAGAAGCACCATCAATTCAGAAGACTCTCTATCATAAGATTTCTACAAAAAAAAAATAAAAAAATCTCAAGATATTGGATGGGAAGCAACCAAACCAAAAAAGCAATACTATGACCATAACAATAAGAGAGTCAAAATAAAAGAGGGAATAAACGGAAAAATGAAGACTCCTTAACCCACCTATGTTCCAAAACATAATTCTCACCCGATTACCCACAATGAGCCCAACTTTTTGAGAAAAATAAAGTATTCCTTGAGAAATAAATTTCCAAGGGCTTCCAGTTGTTACCTTTATCAATCCCATTAGCCAGCAATCCCTATTTATTCTTAATAATTAAGTTTCATAATGAATTTTGGTATAAAGAAAATCTCCAAAAGCCATTTTTTGGCCAAAGCCATGTTTCTTGCCATCACATTTCCCACTGAAAGTCCACCTTTTGTTTTTAGCCTAGAAACCACCTCCAAGCTTACCAAATGATCCTGTCTAGCCTCTCCCCTTCCTTCCCACAAAAAAATCTCTCATCATCATTTCAATTCTCTTAGTCACCACCTCAAGCATCTTAAAGAAGGGCAAAAAATAAATGGGAATAGTAGCCAACACAGATTGAATTACAGTGAATTTTTCCCCTTAAAAATAAAACCTTTATTCCAATCATCTAACCTTTTCCAACTTTATGAATGATAGATCCCAAAAAGACATAACCAAAGGGTTTCCACCTACAGGATGACTTAAATATTTCAAAGGCCATCCCCTGAACCTAAAATCTCAAAGTCATTGCCAGCCTATCTAACTTGTCCCGAGTGGAATTTATTCCGACTATTAGACTTTTCTCCATGTTAACTCTAAGACCAGAGATTAAACCAAACGCATCAACTATGTTCTTAAGATTGAGGAAATTTTATTTATCCCCTAAAAAAAAGAAAATAGTATGTTCAGCAAGTTACAAATGTGACACTGAACAATCACAAAACCCTTGGCTATAATAATACTCATTCTTGCGTTATTCATCATCTTGGAAATTTTGACAATGCCCAAAACAGTTGGATTCTATTGCCACACAAATAAAAACTACTCCCCCCCCCCCTTTTTTCTAAACTTCTTGAAAAAAAAACCTCCCTACTATTCCTACTTGAGAAAATGTCCCTTTTAGCTAAAGCAAAGTCTCATGGCTAAAGCAGCAAGAAGAAGATCTGAATCTGTTTCTTTTAGTGATACGAATCAAAGATCCCTCGAACTCGATTAAGAAATTTTTTTCTCAATCTTAATCTCCATGGTAGATAGCTCCTCTTGATCAACAAGTAAACCTACCATGCTATTGCAAGAGTTTCCAAAATAGCCTTCCAATGGAGCTAAGACAATAGCTACCTTGGTTTCTTCTAGTTTTGAACCTGACAAATTCTATTACGCATACTATCCTAGCATGGAAGTCCTTTTCAACATCATTTTGTTTCCATCATCTCCTTAGAAGTTTTAAATGATTATTACATACACCAATTGAAAGGGCTAAATTTAATATTCAGAGGAGAAAGGAACATTTAGTGCTAATAAGGCTTATATTTAACCAGCACTCAGAAAGGAACACTTAATAAACATATCTTGTTGCATCATATGTCAAAATACCCAATCAGAAAATTACTAAGAGAACTAAAAGCAAAATTTACCTTGACAACTAACAAGGGGTAAGTTGAGACAGTTGCTCCTAGTTTTGCCAAGGCCCCTAATAAGAAAACCTATACATACAAGAAATTATTGAAGTTAAAGGTGAAACTTGACCACTTTTGACAAGGCCACTGATTTGAAAACTACAGTAATTGACAACTAAAAATTAAAAATTTAATTCTCGTATTCATAGCATGTCCAAAGTGGTTTATATAAAGGGAGAGGTTGCCTTTCGAACACCTTATTTAATATCAATGCCCACATCACCAAAGCTGAATAGCTTTCATAAGAGTTTCAGTGCTATCAGGAAAATTGATGACACCGAAAATGGACTAGTTGTTATACAATGTGCCATCCAAGTCTACCTTAGCAACAAGGGATTACCTCCAAAGCAGTGGCATTTTTTAAACCTTGCTTATTAGCAGTGCGTTTAGCCTTCAGGTGCTTTAATGAGCTCTCATAAATCATGAACTGAATTGATGGATTGCATACCTGGCATGTCACCAATAACAATCCTTACTAAATATCAGTAGATTCATATTGCATTTAAAATGGATTTGCTGAAAGAAATCAGAGCCTTACCATGATTAGCGTAGGGATGATGCCTTTCCAGAATCCAAGAATCCCTGCTTCACTGTAGAGTTCGTATGCCTTGTAATGATAGACGAACAAATATAAGCAAGAAACAACTTTGAATTATCCCAAGTACTGTAAAGTACAATTGCGCACAACATAAGCCTCTATGGTTTTGGACTAAAGAGCAACAATTAACAGAATTAACAATTTAGCATAAAAAGACAATAATAACCTTGACCTTTTTAGATTTGTTAGTGTTCTGGCTTCAAACAGTTTATACAATAATTTAGTTACCGCATAAAAACAAGAGAGAGAGAGAATTATTTCAGTTTGAGAAAAACAAAAAAAATAGCATGCACAAGATATGAAAGTGTGCAGATTTCAAAAGAATAAGAAGGTAATCACATAGAGGTAAACATACAATATTCTTGATAAAAAACACATCACTTAAGAAAAGACCCAAAAACCATGCAATATGTTGACTACTGACAAACTAAAAATCTAGCATCCTCCACAAATTAAGGATGACCTAATCCAGACACTTAAAACACCTCAACTAGGAGGGTCTCTTCTATTCAAGAAATCTGATTGCTCTTTCGCATGTATGGAAATCTGTCTGACCTCAGCCTCTTGAAAAGCAAATTCGCCAGGAGCCAAGAAATGCACTTCTCATCTAACCAACCACCACATAGGTTTTGCCTTCATAGAAAAAATGACAAAGTCCAAAAGCTAAGGCTCTATTAAGACTTTCCAAAAGAGAGAGAATTTCTGCAACAAAACATTGTCAACCAACCTAGAGGGGGTACTCCAAAATCATCTTAAAGGTTGTCTTCTAGTCCAATCCTCACGTGGAAGCCAACAAAGCTCCCATCAAATTGGATATTCAACAAGTTAAAGTAAGGTAGGAGCAAGTCACAGTCACCAACAAAGCTCCTGGATGATGTAGGGATATGTCTTAATCAATTATATACCATAGAGGGTGTTTGTATTCCAGTAACTATAAAAAATAGAATACAAGGAAGAGAATTTTAATCTTACTCTCTTTTTTCAGTCATACTTGGTCTCTCCTTTTCTTCTTTCTTTGATTATCTGTCAGCATAGAATTCAACAAAGTATGGGAAAACGGCCTTAGCCTTTTGTTGGAACAATATTTGAGAAGTTCTATGTCTTCAATGGTTCAGGAAGTACATGTCTTCAGGTCCTGCTGTTTAGTTTTTTATTTTGACCCTTGCAGCCATTTTACCTATTTCTTTGTTAGCTAGGATTCATTTGATTAGGATGTTTAGATAGAGTTTCAGTATAAGTGTAGAACGATAGTTTTTGTTTATGGGGGCAACTTAATCTATAAATAATCCTGCAATCTCTATTATTCTACTCGGAGTATGAACTTGTTTTAATTATCCTCTATGGCTAATTATGTTTCTTGATCAATTCCTTAAAAGAATTTGGCACAGGTAATAGGTAGGTATTATGAGTCTTAGAGTCCTGCCTTCTATCTTCTTGCTTCGATTGATTTAGAGCCAGGAAGCCAAGCCCCAAGCAAGGTTTTCATTCCTAGGTTTCGATAAGGCCGCTATTCCTGATTTTATGAAGGAATAGAGTAAAGTTCACTTAGCTCGATAAGTTTGTTATAAACCCAAGTCCATTTTGAACAACAGGAAGATGGATACTAGTAGAGATATTAATAATACGATAGAGGAAAGTCAAGAAATAAATAACTAAGGGCATGTTTGGTTTAGGTTTTGAAAATAATTTTTTGTTCTCAAAATTCAAAAAATAAAGAGAAGTTGTTTGGTTTGAATTTTTTGTTCTCTAATTTTTAGAAAAAGAGGGACCTAAAAAACAAAAAGGGAAACAAACTCAACTTATTTTGGGTGTTTTGGAGATAAAAGAAGGAAAAAATGAAAAACAAGGAGAAGAATTGAAGGCTTTAATGAGGTCTCCTCTTCGAATCCCCTTAGAAGCAAAACAAGTTATACTATAAAAGCTTTTTTTTTTCTTTTACCTTTCTCTCTTCCAGGCTCTTAATCTCTCTCCACAGAAGTTCGCAGACGGAACTCCTCCAGCAACTGCTTTTCTTCGGCGACTGCTCTTCTCCAGAAAAACACACACACACACACGTCTTCTCCAGCGACTGGAGATCGCTTTCTCTAACGACTAGATCTACTTTGGAACACAAACACACACACAACAATTTTTTCGTTTANTTGATAAGGCCGTTATTCCTGATTTTATGAAGGAATAGAGTAAAGTTCACTTAGCTCGATAAGTTTGTTATAAACCCAAGTCCATTTTGAACAACAGGAAGATGGATACTAGTAGAGATATTAATAATACGATAGAGGAAAGTCAAGAAATAAATAACTAAGGGCATGTTTGGTTTAGGTTTTGAAAATAATTTTTTGTTCTCAAAATTCAAAAAATAAAGAGAAGTTGTTTGGTTTGAATTTTTTGTTCTCTAATTTTTAGAAAAAGAGGGACCTAAAAAACAAAAAGGGAAACAAACTCAACTTATTTTGGGTGTTTTGGAGATAAAAGAAGGAAAAAATGAAAAACAAGGAGAAGAATTGAAGGCTTTAATGAGGTCTCCTCTTCGAATCCCCTTAGAAGCAAAACAAGTTATACTATAAAAGCTTTTTTTTTTCTTTTACCTTTCTCTCTTCCAGGCTCTTAATCTCTCTCCACAGAAGTTCGCAGACGGAACTCCTCCAGCAACTGCTTTTCTTCGGCGACTGCTCTTCTCCAGAAAAACACACACACACACACGTCTTCTCCAGCGACTGGAGATCGCTTTCTCTAACGACTAGATCTACTTTGGAACACAAACACACACACAACAATTTTTTCGTTTAAATATGGTTTTTTATCCAGTTCAATCAGCGATCAAAATACAGATTTGATGTTTTTTTTTATTCTGATCTGATTTTATATATATAAATCAATAAACCGAGGGGCTTCAGATCTCAAATTTTTTGGTTTCAGATCTGATGTTGTATTTTTTTTGTTCTAATCTGATATATATATCAATAAACCAAGGGTTTCAGACCTCAGTTTTTTTTGTTCATTGATATTGTATTTGTTATTGATCTGANGTTTGGGGTTTTGGGTTTAGGGTTTAGGGTTTAGGGTTTAGGGTTTAGGGTTTAGGGTTTAGGGTTTAGGGTTTAGGGTTTAGGGTTTAGGGTTTAGGGTTTAGGGTTTANTGGCTTCCTTGAGTGAGTCCTTTCTCTTTCTATCTCTCTGGATGGCAGGCCTTAGTTAGTCTAGTCCGTATAGTAGTTAGCCCTTTTCCTTTTAGATGGATCCTTCATGTGGTAAGTAAAGGTAATAGGTAGGTAGGTATTATGAGTCTTAGAGTCCTGCCTTCTATCTTCTTGCTTCGATTGATTTAGAGCCAGGAAGCCAAGCCCCAAGCAAGGTTTTCATTCCTAGGTTTTGATAAGGCCGTTATTCCTGATTTTATGAAGGAATAGAGTAAAGTTCACTTAGCTCGATAAGTTTGTTATAAACCCAAGTCCATTTTGAACAACAGGAAGATGGATACTAGTAGAGATATTAATAATACGATAGAGGAAAGTCAAGAAATAAATAACTAAGGGCATGTTTGGTTTAGGTTTTGAAAATAATTTTTTGTTCTCAAAATTCAAAAAATAAAGAGAAGTTGTTTGGTTTGAATTTTTTGTTCTCTAATTTTTAGAAAAAGAGGGACCTAAAAAACAAAAAGGGAAACAAACTCAACTTATTTTGGGTGTTTTGGAGATAAAAGAAGGAAAAAATGAAAAACAAGGAGAAGAATTGAAGGCTTTAATGAGGTCTCCTCTTCGAATCCCCTTAGAAGCAAAACAAGTTATACTATAAAAGCTTTTTTTTTTCTTTTACCTTTCTCTCTTCCAGGCTCTTAATCTCTCTCCACAGAAGTTCGCAGACGGAACTCCTCCAGCAACTGCTTTTCTTCGGCGACTGCTCTTCTCCAGAAAAACACACACACACACACGTCTTCTCCAGCGACTGGAGATCGCTTTCTCTAACGACTAGATCTACTTTGGAACACAAACACACACACAACAATTTTTTCGTTTAAATATGGTTTTTTATCCAGTTCAATCAGCGATCAAAATACAGATTTGATGTTTTTTTTTATTCTGATCTGATTTTATATATATAAATCAATAAACCGAGGGGCTTCAGATCTCAAATTTTTTGGTTTCAGATCTGATGTTGTATTTTTTTTGTTCTAATCTGATATATATATCAATAAACCAAGGGTTTCAGACCTCAGTTTTTTTTGTTCATTGATATTGTATTTGTTATTGATCTGAGATTTTTTTGTTCCAAAAAATTTATTGGTGTTTGGTTGATTGATTTTATATATAAATTGATATTGAATTTGTTGTAAATTATATTGAATCTGTTATAAATTGAAGACCATTGAATTTTCTCATATTTTAAAGTTTTGTTTATTGAATTTTTTTTATGAAAATGTCCATCTAAAAATAATTTTCTCATATTTTTTTAATTAATTTTTGAAATATTATCCAAACATATATTTAAGTTGTCCAAACAAGTTTTACTATTTTTCGTTCTGTAAAACTATTTTTGAAATCATCTAACCAAATAAGTTTTTCATCTTAGAAAACATCAAAAATATTTTTTTAAAACTCTTCTCAAAAATTATTTTTAGATACTATTTTTTGACATGTAAACCAAACAGGGCTTAAATATCTCGTTGAATCGGTCGTAGCTCTTGTTATCTCCTCAAATGCCCTCCGCCGGCTAAAAGTCTTGGACTACATAGGGGTCAAACCAATTGGGCTTTCACTCTCCTCTAGGATCAGGGAGAGGAGGAAGATTACCTTTTCACACCAGATACCCTTGTTGAACATGTTTGATCTTTAACTGCTTATGGAGAGCTTTGGAGAGCCTACTTTTAGAAGACATTCTTATGTAATAAAAACCTTGCTTTAGGAGAGGCAGACATTTACTATCTATTTGTCTTAGAGCTACAAGAG